CAATAGAGGGAATAAAAGACTCTAGGGACAAATATGGGAGGAAAACTAAAAAGAAAATAAGATTAAAAGTTCAGATGCGAGTAAGAGATAGAGGATAAGGGAAAATAGAGTAAAAGAATATTTTTATGAATATTTCAATAATGTGTACGAATACCAGAACTATACAAGTTGGATTATTATTTTAGCAATATGCTAGATATCAGAATAATACTGTAATATATGAAGAATGGGAAAAATAGATTTTGAATGACTGTACTACTAAATATATATAAAAATATGAATAATAGTGGAAGGTAAGAACTCAACAATTGGCGATTAGGGAAATATATATAAATATATATGTCAGGGTTCCAGATAGCATCCAAAAGTAAATCAGAGTTGGAGGCAAAGTATTGCTCAAAGTTCCAATTTATTAAGAGAGCCATATTGGCACATCTGGGAAAACCCGAATCTGAAAGCTTCCTGGTTTTCCCCACCCATCCAGTTCCGGTCAGGTGTAGAGGTGTGAAGACAAAGGATGACCTTAGCTTTCTAGAAATTTTTTTGTTATGGCTAAATTACATCTCACTCCTACAATTCCCCCCTCCCATTTTCCCACAATAGAAAATGCATAGTATAATAGAAAGTGTGGCAGGCCAAAGATCCCAAAGAAAAGATGGCTGCAGGCCTGACAAGCGGCCTCTTCTCAGAAGAAAAGCATATCCATCAGGTCATCTTTGCTGCTGTTTTCCTCCTCTGAACTGGGAGGGGTTTCCCCGTCTGGCGGAGTCTCTGTCTCCTCAATCTGCGGAGCGGCTCCTTGTGTTTGTTGGGTGAGACAACTCTTTGGGTGGTTTTCGTGTGCCCCTTTTTGTTCCACTGGTGGCTTGGATTCATGCTTGCAGGATTGAGGCCGGGGCTAAACATCCCAATGCTCTGTGCCCATGTTGACCACACAGGTAGCACTTTATTGCTCCCACAAATTTTGGGGGAAGCGTTTTGGCTTGCTTCATTTGAGTTTGGCAGCCCAAAGGCCTTCTAGCCGGCTTTTCAGTGGTAGGCTTTCAAATGGGGTGAGTTGGTGATCCAGAATAACTGTGGTAGTGTACCAATTCTGGATACATTCTGGCAACTCTCTAATGCATGCCTTTCTCAGTTCAGGGTCTAGGGCATCATTGAACGATAAGTCATTCTGGCCAGTCCTGTAGTTTTCCAGCTGCCCTTCTAAACTCCTTCATGGGACGGCTGGCTTGTCGCAACCCTTGGATTTGCTCTTCTGCTTCCACATGTTGGGCCACATTGAAAAATTGGATCTGCATCAGTTGAAAGAATCCGTTGGTATCTTCTAATTCAGGAGCTGCCTCATTGTGGAGCTCCGCTATCCATTTGGACACTTCCCCCTCATTCATCCCCTCAATTATGGCTGAAACCAGCTCAGTCGGAAGGGTATTAATCTCCAAATTGATCAATGTGCACCCAGACTCAATTTAGGAAGTAGGCTAGCTTCTGAGGGGTCTCCTCAAATGTCACTTGAAATCGAAGGGGAATGGGAGCTGGTGGGGCTGGCATCTGGAATTGCACAAGCAGTTGGGCAGGCGATTGGGGCTGGGCCCCCCACTTGTGACGCTGTTCCTGGTGCTCCGGTTGGGCAGAAACCTGCTGGGCATTGCAGCTTGGGGTTCCCTCTGTGGTGGCAGTTGAGCCCGAACCCCTTGAGGGGTCACTACTTGGGGTTGAACCGAGCCAAGTATCTGAATCAGTGCCATCTGCTGGGGGGGGGGGCAGGCATGCACTGGTATTGTCCCCATCCATGGCCCAGGAAGAAAGCCCACCCTAATGGGACTTGACTCGCTGGCTGCAACCCAAACATTGGTGGTTGGCTATAGGGAGC